CTATCTCAGATAGGTTGTGCTCTCATCTCTAAGCACAACCTCTGCATTCTCACTTTCACCTTTTCCTTTTGTCTGCCTAGTCCATTGTGAACATTGCCGCTCACTCCTCCATGTTCTATCTTGGTTTACTTGACTACAATTAACATCCCCTCCAGTTTGATAGGATACATCAGCTGCCCAAGGAATAACCTACCAAATGATCTTACAGTGAAGCTGGACCTTGGAGTTTTGCTATGAAAATACATAAATATAAGCATAGGATTACATTGCATGTATTAATAGCAAAGTTTTAATTTGATATTTATCTAAGGAAATCAAATCAGTTATATCAGCTTCATTTCAGATTCCTCTGCTCCTAGGAATCTGAAGATTTAGTTTAAAGGTAACCCTTCTTTATTCCAGAGTTATGTCTCCATTAAGTAGGAGAGGAGGCAATGGTTGTAGCATAGTACTCAAATATAGTATTGGAATATGTGCTTAGCATGTGTAAGACCCTATGTTTGGTTCTCAATACCAACAACACACACACATGTTGTGGATATCACTCTGTATAAATAAAATGCTGGTTGGCCTGTAGTCAGGCAGGAAGTATATGTGGGACAAGCAAAGAAGAGAATTCTGGGAAGTGGAAGGTTGAGGCAGAGAGATGCTGCCAGCCACTGCCATGAGAAGATGTTAAGATACCAGTAAGCCATGAGCCACGTGGCAACTTATAGATTAATAGAAATGGATTAATTTAAGATATAAGAACAGCCAGCAAGAAGCCTGCCACGGCCATACAGTTTATAAGTAAGATAAGTCTCTGTGTGTTTACTTGGTTGGGTCTGAGCAGCTGTGGATGAGAGAGATTTGTCCTGACCATGAGCCAGGCAGGACCAGGAAAACTCCAGTTACACACACACACACACACACACACACACAAAAAAAAAAAAAAAAAAAAAAAAAAAAAATTGGAGAGAGGAATATTAATATGCTTGTCATCTTATTGCAGTCCCCCTCCTTTTCTGAAATTCAGTGTCCATTGAAACAACCACCAGATAAATGCAAGAACATTTGCTTAATGCTATGCTCATCAGTTATTCTCAAAACATTGCAATAAAAGAGCTACTGATTTCTGGGGCTATGTAACACATCCGTTTCCCAGTCCACACGGGCTAAGGGGAGCTAATTTAATCTCCTGATTCATTAGTTCAGCTATTGTCTGTAATCTAAAACAGATGCAAGACAATCAGCTAAGGACGAATTGCCACGCTGTGCAGCCTCTGTTTTCCCCGCAGCTCCGTCTATTGACTTGATTCCCAGCTATCTCCATCAAGCTGGAGAGAGGTGCTCCTGCTCATTGGGTGATCAGCACTGCCATTGTTCACCACTCAATTCTTTCTCCCAAGGGCTTCTTTTCCTGTTGAGACTTGAGGCTGATTTTAAATGAGAAATACCAGCTTCCGTTGGCAGGAGAACAGCTTGTCTCTTCAAGGTGGCCACCCGGTTGCAGATGACTTATAATAGTCAGGTTCAAGTTTGTAACCAAGACTAGGACTACGATAGGTGCCGTGTGGCACTGGGTGATTTGCTGAAGGTCTACATGAGTCTAAACCAGAAGAGGCCCCACGTAGAAGCCATGGGTGTTGCAGTTGATGGTCCCAGCTCAGGTACCATGTATGTAAGAGGACTTGTATATAAAAGGACCGGCAGATGAGTCCAGCTGGCAGGAGCTCCAAGCCCTGGAGTTTCTCAGAAAATCAGACATTATCGAAGACAAGCGAAGACGGCTCCAAAGAGTGTAGAAACAGATTTTAAAGACAGTTGCAACAGGGGAGAGACCCCATCGTAATCTGCATTCAGCTCCTCTTTGTGTAGAACCCACTGCTGGATGTTTTATTTATCATGTATATAGTATTCTGTCTGCATGTATGCTTGCAGGCCAGAAGAGGGGGCCAGATCTCATTACAGATAGTTGTGAGCCACCATGTGGTTGCTGGGAATTGAACTCAGGACCTCTGGAAGAGCAGCCAGTGCTGTTAACCTTTGAGCCATCTCTCCAGCCCACCCCACTGGATGTTTTTAAAAGGGAAAGTGAGGTAGTAGGGAAAGAGGAATATGTGGGGACTTGCAAGTTAAGAAAGTAAACAAAAAAGCTGGGCGGTGGTGGCATACGCCTTTAATCCCAGCACTCGGGAGATAGAGGCAGGCAGATCTCTGTGAGTTCGAGGCCAGTCTGGGCTACTGATAGAGTTCCAGCAAAGGCGTAAAGCTACACAGAGAAACCCTGTCTGGAAAAACAAACAAACAAACAAAAGTAAACAAAAATAATAAGAAGCAGATGGAGGGGTGGTCCCAATGAATTGCTGTGTGTTCTTGCTGGCTGATATTTATCAAAGTCAGGTTTGTGGTCTCTTACAGCCACTGAAGGACGTGAGCCCTATTCCTCTAGGTGATTACACTTAAAAGGAATGGCTTTCAGGCCCTTGGGACTCCTGGGCTTTTGGAGGTATTCTTCCCAAAGGCAAAAGGGAAGAATTTATGGTTGTAAGTTTTTAGTAAATACTTTAAGGGTCATGGGTCTATGCTAACTGTTCTTTAGAACAAGTAGTGAATTCTCTAGCAACCTCGAGCTTTGCCACACAGTAATTTGGTTGCAAGGGAGTGTGTCACTATACTGCCTTTGGCTATTAGAAACCACTCGAGTTCAATTATAAAGAACAATGCAGAGATTGGAATGAAGTTATGTTTGTTTGGTCTTTTCACACTGTAGTCTAGACTTGATTGGAACTCTTGGGGGTTTTCCTGCCTTAGGCTCTATAGTGCTGGCACTGCAAATGTATGCCAACATCCTTAACTTTGGTGGAGTGATCTGTATCAAGAGCTTTTGCCATTTTTCGTATCATGGAGGAGAAATAAGCTGGCACTCTGTGCTCTCGAGTCCTGCTCCACTGAATGTATGCATAAAGTAGTAGCTGTTCTTACAACAATATGCTTAGCAATAGTTTGTAATGCAGCCGTCATGGTTGGAACATAGGTTTTCTGAGCACCAATCAGCCTGTTAAGGAGCAGGGATGTTACACCTTTGGAGCCCTAATCTGAGGAACACTCAGTGACTGGCTGCACAGGTTCAAACAGGAAGATTCCCTCTATTTTGCTTCAAAATGTCCCTATGGCTTAGCCCTAAGTTGGTGTTGGGTAGTGAGATCAAGGATCATAGAGCAGAAAAAGCGAATCACCAGCCACCAAACTGTATCAATTCTACCGAGAAAACTCAGTTAACTAACAGTGAGCCTCCCGAGGAGTTGTAGTAGGAAATTATGTGGTTGGAAAGGCCAGCAGGGGTGGACAGTGGGCTTCTCCCACCGGCTAGACACTAAGGACTCAGGCCCTAGAATTTCAGCAGACCAGACCTCAGAGAGCCCTGAATTCAGCCTTAAGGATTTCCACCCAAGAAGCCTAAAGCAGAGGAGACACTCACAGTCTTGATGTGGATAGTCTCCATGATTGAAGAAATGCTTTCAAGTTTTGTATTTTAAAATGCACACTCCAAACGCCAATGGCTTTAAACCATTTCTCTCAACACCGAATCAAGTTAGTGAATCAGAACTGCTTTCTGTTCTCTTTTCCCCATCCCTGGCATGCCTGGACAACATCTTTGCTTGAGTAGAGTACTCCATTCAAGGAGAAGAGTAGAGTCACCCCACCTCCATTTGTTCACCTTCACCAGGCATCCTCTCCCTGCCAGATGTGGCACTAAAAACAAAGAAGCAAATCTTTGTTGCAGATTTCCCCAAAGTCCATAGTGTTCTGTGGTAGAACTGAGACCACTGCTCATTTCTCTGCTTCCAGTTTGGAGAAAATAGCCCACTTTCTTTTCCAGCACTCTACATGTCTCCTTCAAGCCCTGGAAAGAACTCAGGAAAATAGTTAGTATCAGACATTAATCTAGTGGAAACAGGGCTTCTTGGGCTTCTCTGACAGATTATGCATGAGTGGGCACCTCACAGGGCCATTGTGTTCCTAAATAATACTGATTCCTGAAGTTTGGTGGATGTTTCTGGAGCCTGCAGTAAATCGTGCTAGCTGTGATGGGGGTTTACCTCTATGTCTTGGCTCTGAGTATCTCATAAAGTTTAGCTTCCAAAATACTATCTCGCATAGGCTGAAACAAAGTCACCCATTCTTCTTGCTCCTTAGCTTGGAATTCATTATTTAACTAACATGTTTTATTATAACGCTTCTTTACTCTTAAAATTTTCGTACATGTGTACAACGTAATAAGATTATACAAACCCTTATTTTCCTCCTCCAAGTCTCCCTATATTTTCTCCAACATGCCCCCTCCCAACTGCCTGTCTTCTATTTCCTAAAAATAAGAGAAAAATAAAAATCCATGAAGTCCCAATTAGTGCTGCCCATATGTGCATGAGTTGTGGGGCCATTCACCAGAGCATAAGAAACACACCAGTTGGCACACCCTCAAAAAAGAATGGTTCTCCCTCCCCCAAGCAGCTATCATCTGCCAGCAGCTCTTCAGTAAGGCGTGTGGAGCCTGGAGAGCACCTTCCCCAGATATGGAAACATTGATTGGCTTGCTGGTTTGAATAGAAAATGTCCCTTCACAGTCTTGGGCATTTGAATACTTAGTCTCCAGTCAGTGATACTGTTTGGGGGGGCTTGGGTAGTTTCGACTTGTTGAAGAAGTAGAACATGGGGTGGGGGTGGGTTTTGAGAGTTAACATGTCTTGCCTACTTCCAGTTTGCCCTCTCTGTTCTGAGCTTGCCATTCAGGATGTGAGCTCTCAGCTGCCTGTTTCTGCCATCATGCCTGCAGCCTGCTGCCACGCTGTCCCATCACTGTGGACTCTACCCTTTGGAACTGTAAGCCAAAACAAACTCTCCTCCGAGTAGCTTTGGTCATGGCGTCATATCACAACACTAAAGTAACTAATCCAACAGCCTGTAAAGTACCTTGCTATCCCATGAAAGCTAGCCAGCGGGGAGGAAGTTTCCCAATCAGTTAGAGACTGATTTCTCTTTGTCCTGTATTCCAAATACGTGCTGTCTTCACCCTGTGTTGTTTTGGAGACCTCTGGAGATGCCCTGACCAACAGCTCAGAGGGAGGTATCCTGAGCTTTGAATTGAGATTTTTTTTTTCATTTAATAATCCTTGTCTTCTGGGAGTGAGCTTGTCCATCTATGCAGGGTAATTCTGTTTGAATGCTTGTTTCAAGTTATATTTTGGAATTAGATTACTAACTAGAGGATTTCAACAAAACTTTTATATACATCCTTGGTTTTAGGTAACCTACCTACTACTCCCTTCTCCACCCTGACACCACTCAATACACTCTTCCTTCATATCATATGTATTCAACTATCCCTCTAGTTACTATAGACTAGAGTCTACTATATCCTTTTTAATTGAGTTCTGAGGTAGTAGGCTTCCATATTGCTTCAATATACTCTTCCTTTAAATTAGCTCCTCCCATCCCCCCCATTTCTCTCATACTCCCACAATGCTCCCTGCTTTTGTTTTACTTATAATCTACTATCTTAGCTCACTCAGTGTTGTCCTGTGTTTTCGTAAAGTGCATAGTATGTGTCAGTCAGGGTACTAGGTTTAGAAGTAAGAGATTTATCTGTTGGCTGAGGTTGATGAGTCATGCCCTCCACTCTTCTCTTTTTCAACTCAGCACACCTCTACAGGGAAACCTTTGCTCACAGCTATCCTGCTGCTTGCCATGGAGGCTGGAGATATGAAAGGTAGGAAACCTTTTCCACCAGCAACCCACACATACTCTTCAAGCCAATGTCTCCATTAGTAAAGCTGATATTTTGGTCTGACTAATTATGTGTACTTTCTGTTTGATTGGAGACCTCAGTTGGAAGAGGATGATTAATTCAAACCCTTAGAATATCAGTGTTCCACTTTTTTTTCTTTTAGTTTATTGCTCTGAGTTTAAAGTTGAAATGCCTCAGTCCCTAGGCTAGCCCATGACATCTGGGGCTAGTTCATGATCACAGTTCCCTTCCAATGTCAAGATTTTTTTTTCTTTTAAAAATAATGTTTTTGCTTTTTTTTTTTTAAAAAAAGAATTTCAAACATATGCACAATATATTTTGGTTATATTTATGCCTGACGCCTCCTCCTTAACTCTGCCTAGATCTACTTCCCATTTCTGGACCCTTCCAACCTCCTGTCCCATTGTTTTGCATATAAACCTCTGATTCCAATTATTTGCACTTCCCATATGCTTTCCATCAGTCCAATGTACTTTTAATCCATATGCAGTGTCTTTGTTTCTTTTGAGGTCTTTTTGATCTAGTTTAGCAATCATTTCCTGGGGTTCTAAATTTTAGAGTAAGCTCATTTTTATTTAACTCCATGCCCTGTTACCATTCCAAGGTGATAATTGCTTTAGCACAGGTCCTTTCCAACCTCAGAACAATTGGTACTTTGAGCCAGACAGAAAGGGAGGTAGCCATCCTGTAGAGTACCCAGCAGCACCGTTGGCCTCCACTGATTGGATGATGGTTAGCGTTCCTCTACTCCCACTTGTTAAGACCCAAGACATTCCAGACATTGCCACATGTCTCCTGGGGAACAAAAATCTCTCCTGATTAAGAGTGCAAAATGTGCAAAATGTTCAGGACACAGCTAGAGCAGAATCATGCCTTACTCTTCCTAACAGGACCAGGGTGGGCTTCTTAGATCAGAGACATTTGACCACAAGTTGGAAGGGTAAGAAAGAGTTCCCTGGTGGTCATAGAATAGTTTTAAATGTACAAACAGGGAGGTGTCCATAGCCCTCTGTGATGGGCATTGACCAAACTCATATTTCCTACCACCCTAAGTACATCCTCAAAAATTCTACGGGTCACCTACCCAGTCCAGCTGGCTCCTTTTCAACGATTTTGCTTAGATGATTGGTGATTTCCTTCTCCATAGCAACAAGTTTCACCTTTTCGGACTGAACTTAGCTCTGCACTGTCTTTGAGAAAGGATTAGCTTCCTCGTGCAAATTCCTCTAGAGGTGAATGATTTTCTTTTAAGCATCATGTCTACACTTAGAATATCAAGAGAGGAAGTCATGATATAAGCCGGGGATCTAACTACACCAGATTCAGGTATTGTGAGGTATTTTAGGCATCGGTTCAAATGATCATGTTTTTCTCAGCAGTTGTATGTGATGGTTTGAGTGAAAATGGCCCGCACAGATTCATAGAGAGTGACATTAGTAGCAAGTGTGAACTTTTTGCAGCAGGTGTGACTTTGTGGGAGGAAGTGTGTCACTAGGGATGGGCTTTGAGGTTTCTGATGCTCATGCTAGACTCAGTCTCTCTCTCTTTTCTTCCTGCCTGCTGATCTGGATGTAGAACTCTCAGCTACCTCTTGAGAACCATGTCTGCCTGCCTGCTGCCATGCTTCCCACCATGATCATGGACCAAACCTCTGAAACTGTAAGCCAGCCCCAATTAAATGTTTTCCTTATAAGAGTTGCTATGGTCATGGTGTCTCTTCACAACAATAGAAACCCTAACTAAGTCATTGCACATTCGTGAGAAGAAACTTAAGCTCTACTCACCTGGGGTATATGACTCATTGAGTAATGTACTTGTCTAGGCGTCTGGGAGGAGGGAATCTGGGAGGACTGTGGGAGGGGGAAATTGGTAGCAACTTTTTCAGGTTGCTGAACTCCATGGTAACACTGCGGTGGGTGGTGGAAGTCTCACAGCGGGAGTCAATGAATCACAAGGAAATATCAATGAGTTTGGCCGTTTATTAACGCCACCTAAAGACAAGACAAGCGGTGATTACTATCTGATTTTAATACAGAGGTACTCATCTGGTACATAAGGAGTGGAGGGATCAGCTGGTGAGGCAGTATAGGAACAGAGAGGAAACCATGAGTTAGCCATGTGTGTCATTACCACTGTTTTGGAGGGCAATGATGGGTAGAAAGACTTTTCCCCCCATCACATTATTTTTAGTGACATAGAATAAAAATACTTGAATTAAAAAAACATTTGAATTAGCAATAAGAGTATATCAAATCTATTGGATAGGTTATAGCACCAGGAAGCTCATGACATGTGGCCTTTCCCTGGGAGATCATTGTGGATTGAGCCCCAGACAGGCTGTCCCAGAGCTTCATCTTGAAGTGAGAAAAGAGAAAAGCTAAGACTTGTACTCTCTTTGGTTTGCAATATGTAGCTTTCAGAGAACTTCAGCTAGCTAGAAGGGAAGTTAGGGTCTGAAATAATATAATCCATCCAATTTGTGCTTCAGATTCTTAATGGAGGTTGTTCAAAACAGACTCTCTGAAAGCATTGCAATGGAATGCCAGTGGAGACATGGCTGTCTCAGGAAGGCAGAAGGTGTGTGTGCTCTTGTTTAAGAAAACCTATGACTGAAGTTAGCCCTACACAAGAAAGCAATCATTTGTTACAGGATATGTATGATTCATGACTTGAACAGAGTATTCACTATGAAGTTTCCAGGAATATTGTTCTCTTATGGCGTAATACTGTTTTTGATGTTCAAGAATTAAATAGTCTATAACTTTTTGGAGAAGAGCTAAGTCTACCACTCTGAAAAGCAATGTAAACCCAACATGATGTATTTAAGCACAAGGTCCTATGGTGGACCTCTCTGGCTCATGGTAAATGTATAATCCAGTGTCTCTTGCTGAACTTCTTACTCATACCTTCAAGGTGTTACTAAAGGAGGACATGGATGAAATAAATCAAGGCCTCATATTTGATCCTGTGAAGACACTCAGTCATCCTGATATTCAAGGTTCTTCTAGCATTTCAAGCACCAAGGATCTATGGTGTTCCAATAACCCACAGCCAAGCAGCTAACTGATGACTCCTACAGCAAACACAAATGGCACATGCCATAGAACAGTCTCACTATGATAGAGGAAAGGGATGTCCATGATGTGTGATCGGAGGTCTATTTCTTGTGTTTGAGGAACTGGAGAAAAATCTAGAATAGAGCACCTGGCCAGACCCTCTCCACAGGCTTTTTATGTTCTCCACCACATGGGCAACAAATGACATGGTTTATTTATTTATTTTTGCATTGGGAAATCTGGCCTAGTTTAGTTTGCTGAGGTCAGTAGGAATCCAGGTTTGTTCCTGAGTTATCTAAGCCTGGTCACACCCAGGACTCTGATGTCATGTACTTTTACCCTGTGCTAGAACAGTACCAGATTAAGCTGAATTCACATGGCTTACTAAATTAATCCCTTGGAAAGCCTAGACTACTAGTCTTTGCAATTTTTTTTTTCATTAGAAAAAGTCAGATTCTCCTCCACTTCTCCATTCCTCCCACTCCCAGAATAATGTAAGTATTTCTCTGAAATTGCTGTTTCACCAGAGTGTGTCATTGACCAGCAATGTTTATATATAAAGATAGAATACAAGAAAGTATGCTTAACTACACATAAATTCCCTGGCTTCAGCAAATATGTACTTTCTCCTGTTTCTGGTATACCTTGAATTTTATCCAAAGCTCAGTGTTTTGTTTTCCACAGGAACTGATCAGAATAATGCACACTAGTGGCTTGATAAAGAGTTTAGAAGTACTGGGCGGTGGAAGTGCATGCCTTTAATCCCAACATTCAGGAGGCAGAGGATCTCTATGAGCTGGAGGCCAGCCTGTCTATAGAGTGAGTTCCAGGACAGCCAGGGCTAAGCAGAGAAATTCTGTCTCAAAAAGCAAAAAAAAGAAAAAAAGAATTTAAAAGTACATAATATATAATGTTGTGTTCATGGTCTCAGAGCAAATGAAACTGGCATTGGCCAGCAACACCATCTCACACAAAGCCGAAGATGTCCATCTGGAAGTTCTTGTTTGCTTAGCCATTCATATGACTACCAGCTAACGTTTCTGTTAGCTCTGCCAACATCTGGGTATTAGCACCAGGTTCAATAGCACCATTCTGCTGAACAGACAGGTAACTACAGGGAGTGGTGGGGTACTGTATTCCAGAGTGAAGATGATGTATATTGGTGCACAAGCCTACAACTATGCAGTTCATCACAGGCAAGCACACACTGCCTCCTCTCAAGAGCTCGTTCTGAGGTCTCTCTCTGTGGCTTACATCTCTCCACACACCCATTCTTTCTGTCTAGCTTCAGTTCACAGGCTTGCCCGGAGATTTGCTCTGAGTTTGTGATCACAGTCTACTCTGCCTTTAGTCAGAGGCAATGTCTGGAATAAGCATTCTAACTTTCATTTCAGTGATCTGGATCCTCTTGACTTGCCTGGTCTCCACAAGGTAAACTAGCCTTTGTTTTTGATCTGTGTGTACAAATACATGCACGCACGTGTGTCGCTAGAGATCAAACCTATAGCCTTGCACGTGCTAAATATGCATTCTGCCCTAGTTGTCTCTCTAGAGGCAAAAGACTTCTAAAAGTCACTAGTGGGTACACTAAATAGATCATCTCTCCCAGTTCTTAGAATTTTTCCCCCTCCTAACTAAAGTATACATTTCTACTAAATTCTTAGACAGTACAATTTACCTGATTCTAATTTTGAAGTGGTTTGACCTTTATCACTTCACCTTTTCTCTCAGGAGAGATAGGGTGAGCTGAGAGCCAGCACCCAGTTATAGTAGTTTTATATCCTTCTCGGCTGAAGATGATGGTGGGACCTGAGGCCCTGACCCAGATAGAGGCAGGACAGGAGAGAGAATGGCAGACAGGGACATTCATCTGTTCTGTGAAGGAACTGACAATGCCAAAAAAAATTCACAGAACAAAGGCCACATTTTCTTTCTTCTGCGAGCAAGAGGTTGATTTGTGCTCATTTGTATTTTTAGTAGAAACTGAACTGAAGTCAGAGATGACTTCTGGATCAATGGTCTAATCCCCTTGGGCTGCATTGATGTCTGTGTGTCCTTAATCTCGAATTTCCCTGGTTTGTCCCAAGATTTTAGACTTCCAGTTGTGAAGTCCTGCAGGGCTGGAGGGTAGACTGAGGGTCAGCTAGCATTCTCTTCCCATCCTTATTGACTACTGAATAAATGTTCCTAAAAGCTGCCCCAGTGGCTACCCAAGGAAGCCAAGGAGGATATATTCTTGAAGACAAATTAAAAAGATTATCTGTTCCCTGGGTAAGTGTGGCTGTTTCTTGATTTTCTTGAGGTAGTTTGGAAAAAAAGCTGTTCTCTATTTTTATCTTTAAAGGGGAAAAGACATCTTTTTCACAGACTTGCCTAATCTGGTACTTTCCCCAGGCTCTCATCTCAGCTGCTTCAGAATTCTCTCAAATACTTACTTTGTCTTCCTATCAGGGAGCAACTAGCACCAAGCTTCCTATAAGGAACATTTTGTGGCTAGACAAACACATTGCATTTTGTTTTGTTGTGACCTATAGTTGAACCTAGCATGTGTAAAGTGAAATAGTAACGAAGTGGCCTTCTGGACCATGTTCTTGAGCAGCAGGCTGTGGAGGTTGATGACGATGGCTTCTTTCTGAACCTAGAGGGTGCCATGATTTTGGAGCAGCTGCTGTTTTCTTTGCCTTTGAGTGTGGATGCTCTGCGTCTGCGGACATGAGTGGCAGCACTGTGCTCTCACTGAGGGCACAGAGCATTTCTTCATGGATTTTAGCGTCTCGCAGAAGCTGGTTGAAAGCCTGTCCTTTGTGCACGTTAAATCTGTGGGAGAAGAAAACAATAAGAAATAAATGGACGGCGCCAATTCACACAGAGACCCTCCCCTGGTCATCACACGGAGAATGAGAGGCTGTGAGGCACTCAGCCCTAAACAGGTCATATACATCTAACACCCCTCCGCACAAGGCTCGGGGATATGTGAGGAAGAGGAGGGAGAAAGATTGTAGGAGGCAGAGGTGATGGAAAACACGAAGTATAATTACACATTTGAGTTCGTGGCACTGTAACAGCATATACAAGACCTGTGGAAGCTTAAGCCAGAAAAACAAAAACAAAAACAAGACCCAGACTAGAGACAGGAAATGGACATGAACTCTCACTGCCAGCCAAGGAGCTATTGACCTTGATAGCTGCCAAGGAGTCAGTTTTCATTAACAATGTGAGCCCTCATCGTTTAGCCATATGATAGGGCAGATTCCCCCACCCAAGACTAGACAAACAGCTGGCCGCTGAAGCTTTCATCAAGGGTAAAGTTAAATTCCAGGGCAATTTGTGGGCAATCTGATAGCCAGAAGGAAAATGCCTGCAGGTGCAGCTTTTTTTGGGGGGGAGCATGTTCTCAGGGTAGCTCTGAGCCCAGATGACCTCTAAAGTTCTAGATGAGGCCCGGTGACATTCCCAGTAACCCCTGCTCTGCCCTTTCAGTACACCAAACTAGAAAGCAAAACTGGTCTCTTTTCTCAGTGAAAGGAACCCAGAGTGTGTGTGTGTCTCTCAGCTCTGCAGAGAGACCCCCAAGTTT